ATGGCTGAGTAATGGACCTTCATGAATCATGCTATTTATCTTCACGATATTACTGATAACCCAATATCATATCCATAGATGTCTCACAGTTCAAGATTTGTTTCAACACACATGAAATTGTGTGTAACCTGGAAATACTGTAAACTGTTTTCTATATTTTAGATGTCACGGAAAAGTGAAAATTATCTTTGTAAATAACAAATATGACCTGTTAAAATTGGGCAAGGGAATGATGACCATTCAAAAGGAATAAAGCTAAAATGAAGATAATTTCAAGACATGCCTTGACTGGGTTGAAGGTAGTGGTCATCCGCTGGAGCTCCTGGAAATGGCCGGGCGAATTTTCACAGGTTACAAGAATTTCATTTCCCCTTGCATGGACAATGACTAAACAGGGCCTCTCGCGTAGCATCACCATCTGTTGAAAAACGATAAGAACGAAATTAAGAAAATAAACAACAGAACCAGAATTAGAGAACTGAAGAAATGTCTGCATCACGAAGTGTAAGGGTCAAGTAAGGCGAGCTTTAGCAATACATTGAATCAGTACCAATCTTCAAAACGAACACTACCAATTTTAAGCAGGTCTTTTTTATCATCATAAATGCCCATATTCCCAAAGCATAGTACCTGCACATCAGCTGCTCCAGGTGTGGAAACACTGGACGTCAAACGGGCCCCACCAGCTGTGATGTTCCAGATTAGCACCTCTTTGTCACCTGCTACTTTCTGAAATGGTCAAGGGAGAAACCATTCAAAACAAATTAGAAGACAGGTTAAAGGATTAATAACCCAAAAATTACGTAAGTATGAATTTTGTATAATGGAGAAACTAAAGAAGACGACACCATTCATTTATCCACATTTCTTATGGTTAAATGTGATTCCCAGTTCTCCAAACCTGATCAATCTTGACCAAATTTCACCAAACTTTGGTGTACTGAATACAAAGCAACAAATAGGTGCCATTATAAATTACAAAGAAAAAGGGAAGAGAAGCTTGCAGGCAAAACAAATCAAATATAAAATAAAAGAATAGCTACTCCGTCTTCTATTGTTATTTATTTATTTGTTTTTTACTTACCGTGCTATCATCTGAGGTAACATCCAAGCAGACATGTCCTGTCACAACAAACTCTTCCCCATGGCTTGTGTAACCCACTGCATTCTTGGTACAGACTCCACCTAAGTTTATATCTGATTGGAGAGAGAAATCTATTTAGAATGTGATGTAGATTAAAGGAAAGTAAAACAGGCTGTTGCACTGAAAATAATTGATTTTGGAAAAGAGGCTGTAAACACATCAAACCTTCGAGCTAGAGATCTTACTGAATGGACGGTTTCTTGGTCGTGGGCCGTAACCTGTTGACTTCAAAGGAAATCTAATAACGGACAACTATGATGATCTCGATTTTTTTTCCTTTTTTAGAATTAATAGTAACCGGAACCCTCACACAATATTATACCTCTTGCCTGGAACCCTCACACAATATTATACCTCTTGCCTGGAACCCTCACACAATATTATACCTCTTGCCTGGAACCCTCACACAATATTATACCTCTTGCAGGAATTATACTTTGTTGTGCCAACATGTCACTCGTTAACCATTCTTTCCAGGAACAAACCAAGATAAACAGAACAGTGTACTCCTAAAAACAGCAAGGGCAGCAGTTGAATCTACAGCACTCACAGGCCCTCTCCCCTGTGGTGTGCAGAAAGAGATCACCCAATTGGCGAGGCATTATTGTCACCCACTTGGCGTGATCCTCCGGAGCAAAAGCCACCAGACTTGAGCTTGATTTTGATATTCTTTGACAACAAACTACACAGAGCTCCGCCAATTTCTCTTGGTTCGCCGCGACAATTGGCCAGGCCTTCTCTTGTAGTAAGTGCCCCACTGCCGCTCCCTAGGAGAGCGAGGTTACAAACCAGGTCTGGACCCTCTGGTCCTGGACATAGTTTGTGGCCACACACCAAGGGCGACTTTTCGGTGTCTAACTCTTGCCTTCTCCTGACTTCCTGGTGCAACCTGAGCCTGCGGGAAACGTTGATTTCCAACATTTGCCTGGGCTGCGGTGACGTGATCACACCCCCCTTGTGGCAGGATTGGGGTGCAGAGCGTTTACCACACCAAAACTCCGAGTTCAGCCCACCCAGGGGGATCTCCTGTCCTGTGGTGCTGAAGGGTCGAGTGTAGGGATCAGAGCTTTTTTTTTTTTTTTTTTTTGAGGCCCTTCTTAAGACCTCACCCTGAGAGGAGGTATAAAGATAATCCCCGAAAGGGAGCCAATCTGTTTCCAACTCTCTAAATGACCACAATATGAAGCAGACATGGCAGTCACCCTGGAGCCTTTCAATGCTGCAGGGGGGCGAAAGAAAACCCAAAGCAGGCCGAACGTGTCCGGCCTGATGAACCGAGCAAGGACAAGACAAAACCAACCACAAAGTCTGTCCATGCACACCAGACTGAGGGAAACCTGAACTCCCCTCAGAACTCCCTCAGTCAAGAAGGGGCTCCAGCTGTACCAGCCAAAACAGCTGCCCCCACTTCCAAAGGCCTTAAACCCCTGCAAACGGGAGGCGTGAAGCGACGAAGGGTGGAAACTGACTCTGAAGAAGAGGCAGAGCACACCCCAAGTCGACTACGCGGTTTAAGGTACCAAAAAAAAACTGAAGACCGACAATGCATACCAGCTGGTAAGGGCATTGGAGGAAAGAAATGTAAGACTATCAATCCGAATCTCCAGAGATGAGGGCATGATCATTGCCCCCAAAGACAAAGCCACCATGACTTCCTGCAGGAAATCAAGGTGCTAAAAGATGGGAGAAAGGTGTGTATCTCACCACTGACCTCCCAAGAGAAAAAGTCCAAGATGGTGCTACTTGGCTTTCCACTAGGGTTCGACGTGGAGGTGATCACGGCAAAGTCCTGGTTATCCTCAAGGGAGCCCCAATCACCACCCTTGATCTGGGTAACTGGGGCTCAATACAAGCTCAGGACATATGTGCCAGAGCCCTTGAGGTGTTTCACATGCCAGAAATTTGGGCATCACCAGGCCAACTGCAAGGCCAAAGCCAAATGTGGTGTATGCAGCGAGGCACACGAAACTGAAGTGTGTATAAAGGCACACAAAGATGGCCAGAAGGACACAACAGCCAAGTGTCCAAACTGTGCCAAAAAGCAACATGCCTGGAGCCTGGCTTGCTCTGTCAGGAAACAGGCAGTGATTAAAAAGCAGGAGCTAGCCAAAAAGCGTCCTGACTTCGTCCCTGCGCCCCCAGGCACCTACGTCTGGGGCCAAAACAAAAAACAAAATAAAAAAGAAAAGACTCCCCGACCTCCTAAGAGGAAGGAGTCGCCCCCACAGCGAAAATTGGATACCTCTAACAGAGAGGAATTCCCCAAGCTTGCTAGTGGCAAAACCACAAAAAAGAACCAAAGGGAAAAAGGTTCAAAGTCCACAGCAATGGTCCCCCCAGATGATAATCTTTTCTTTGACGAGAAAGATATGACTCTCTGTTGAGTGCTGTAGTTTCTGCAGTAGCAACAGCCTTGGGAGGACCAGTGAGGAGGCGGAGAAAGCAGTGCAGGTCGCCATGACGACTATGACCCAAACTGTGGCAGCTCTGAAGGAAGGAAGCTAGAAGCCTCCAAACCGATAACGAGCAGCGCTCCCCTCCCTAAATCCTTGGATGGCTGGCTAGCTTCAAGAGAAACATTACATGAAACCCCAGCTAGTCTGTCAGGACAGGCTGAAACTGTGCAGCAGGCCGAGTCTGTACAGCCAAAGTCTCATCCTCTGACCCGAGGTGGCACTTCCAACCTAGGCCCTACACCCATCAGTAAGAGCCTTAACCGGAGTGTCTGACTTGGAGGAAGTTGTACAATCCTCAATCAACGAGGATCTGTATTTATCTGATGCCACTAGCACTGGGGCATCTGAAGCTGAAGCAAGTGACACTGAGTAACCATCATGGCACACAATCTAAGCATACTGCAATGGAATATCTGTAGCTATAAAAGCAAGAACTCCTTTCTCCAGTCAATTGTGCGAGCAAGGAGCATTGACGTTGTCATGCTCCAGGAGACACTAACTATGGGATCCGTGTGCTTCTCAGGATATCATGCCTTCACCACTCCGAACCTGGATGGTGCTAGAGGCCTGATGACCCTGGTAAAAGAAGCTATCCCGTGCTCCCTAATAGCCAACCCGCCGCACCGTGGAGATGGTGTTGAATCTCTTGCTGTTGAGATTCAGCTACCTGGGGGCCCTATAAAAATATATATTTATAGCAAACCACTGTGTGAGAGCTTAGATCTAAACCAGGTCTGTGCTACTGCAGCACAAGACCGAATGATCATAGGAGGAGACTTCAATGCACACATAGCCATGCTGAATCCCCGCAAAAGGCCGAACGCGGCAGTCATTCACATAGCAGAAGTGCTTGAGACATTCCCTGAGATCGCTCTTCTCAACACCAAAGAACCAACGCATGTGAAGGGAGGGGTCCTAGACCTCACCTTTGCCACTGCAACAATGGTGGAGAGAATTCGGTGGTGTGTCGATGATATGGTTACTAGTGATCACTACGGCATAGTCACCACACTAATGGATGCAGGTCCAGCCCAAAGACCACATCACATTCCTAAATGGAAAACAGACAAGGCCAACTGGTTTGCCTTCCAGGAAGGCTTGGCTCGATGTCTGAAAGACAATGAACCCAATATCACTAATGAAAACGTGGATGTGCTAGAGGCAAGGCTAATCCAGGCCATAAACCGGGCAGCCTCACAAACCATTCCCAAAACTCGCCCATGGTCCAGAACTCACAAAGACGCCTGGTACTATAATGACGAGATCAAAGAGGTCAACCACAGGGTTAATATGTGTAGAAAAAACTTCCGACAGCAAAGATCTCCCGACAATCTGGCCCTGTTGAGGGAAGCTGTCGTGGATGCCAAGGAAACTGCCAACAGAGTAAGGCAGGAAAAATGGCTGGAATGGTGCCAAACTTTTGGGCACAGACCAGCCTTACAGAGTTGTGGAAACGGGTCAGGCAAGCGACAAGCCGCCAAGCCCCGAAATGCACTCATCATGACCCACAATCAGAGGCTAACAGAAGGTGCTCGAGTTCTCTGCCAGAACCAGCACCAACAATCTGCCTCCAATGATGAGAGAAAAACAAAACTTAAATCCAGAAAGACGCTCTCATAAGAGACAAGGCACTCGAAGCTGATGAAACGGATGCCTTGTTCTCTCTTAGGGAACTAAGAAAATCATACAAATCCAGTTCTGGGTCAGCACCGGGATCTGATGGGATCTCTCACCCCATCATTTCGCATCTAGGCCTTGCAGGAGAACTTGCATTCTTGCAGGTTATCAACAAATCCTGGCAAACAGCCACGGTGCCCAGCTGGAAACAAGCCACAAAATAGTTCCCATCCCAAAAAAAGGAGCCTGGCAAGTACCGTTCCATCTCTTTCTCAGCTGCTGGGTAAAACAGCTGAGAAGATGGTACTCAACAGGCTCCGATGGAAAACGGGTCCCCCCCATGAACACCTGCACGGGTTCACAAGGGGTAAGAGCACTGCTCATAGCATTTCCACACTCTTAAGCACAATCTGCACCTCGCCTGCCGTGGTTGTCTTCCTTGACCTGGAGAAGGCTTTTGAGCTGGCAAGTCCGCTTGCCATTCAAGAGACCCTAATCCACAAAGGAGTCAAAGGCAGACTCTTGGCCTGGATAGCTATTTTAAAAATAGATCAGCAAATGTCAGATTTCAAGGCAACCTCTCACAGCACATGCCACTTGAAAATGGAACTCCTCAGGGAGGGGTTCTTAGTCCAGCCCTGTTTAATACCCTCATGTCCAACATACTAGACATTCACCTGCCAAAGGGATGCAAGATCATCTCTTATGCAGATGACTTGGCAATCATAGCCTCTGGCAATCACTGCCTTACTAGAGCTCAGCGTTGTCTGAACCTGGTGTCTGAAGAGTGTTGTAGGACGGGTCTAAAAATATCAGCAGCAAAATCCAAAGCAATGGCACTGAAACCAATGTCAGAAACAAAAAACTCACTATACAGGGTATGGATCTGGAATGGGTGAAGGACTATCTATACCTTGGTGTATGGATAGGACACACACTCGCTTTCAAAAAGGAGATCCAATACCTGCTTGACAGAACCA